TCATGATATAACAATATTCTAAAGTTGTTTAAACAGCTGGTAACAAGCTTGTTGATATTATCAGACTTGTAGCAAGGTTGTTCCAACAAGTTCGATACAGTCCTAATATAACAATATTGTATACAAGTTGTTAACAGCTTGTAACAAGCTTGTTGATATTATCAAACTTGTAGCAAGGTTGTTCGAACAAGTCTGATGCAAGCATGATATAACAATATTGTACAAGTTGATTAAACAGCTTGTAACAAGCTTGTTGATATTATCAGACTTGTAGCAGGGTTGTTCCAACAAGTCTGATACAGTCATGATATAACAATATTGTATACAAGTTGTTAACAGCTTGTAACAAGCTTGTTGATATTATCAGACTTGTAGCAAGGTTGTTTCAACAAGTCCGATACAGTCATGATATAAGAATATTGTATTCAAGTTGTTAACAGCTTGTAACAAGCTTGTTGATATTATCAGACTTGTAGCAAGATTGTTCCAACAAGTCTGATACATTCATGATATAACAGTATTGTACAAGTTGTTTAAACAGCTTGTAACAACCTTGTTGATACTATCAGTCTTGCAGGAAAATTGTTCCAACATGTCCGATACAGTCATGATATAACAATATTCTACAAGTTGATTAAACAGGTTGTAACAACCTTGTTGATACAATCAGTTTTGCAGGAAGATTGTACCAACATGTCCGATACAGTCATGATATAGCAATATTGTACAGGTTGAGTAAACAGCTTGTAACAAGGTTGTTGATATTATCAGACTTGTAGCAACATTGTTCCAACAAGTCTGATACATTCATGATATAACAGTATTGTACAAGTTGTTTAAACAGCTTGTAACAAGCTTGTTGATATTATCAGACTTGTAGCAAGGTTGTTCCGACAAGTCGATACATTCATGATATAACAATATTGTACAAGTTGTTTAAACAGCTTGTAACAAGCTTGTTGATATTATCGGGCTTGTTGCCAGATTGTTCCAACCAATCCGATAAGGTCGTGATATAACAATATTGTACAAGTTGATTAAACAGCTTGTAACAAGCTTGTTGATATTATCAGACTTGTAGCAAGGTTGTTCCAACAAGTCTGATACAGTCATGATATCACAATATTGTACAAGTTGTTTAAACAGCTTGTAACAAGCTTGTTGATATTATCAGACTTGTAGCAAGGTTGTTCCAACAAGTCTGATACAGTCATGATATAACAATATTGTATACAAGTTGTTAACAGCTTGTAACAAGCTTGTTGATATTATCAGACTTGTAGCAACGTTGTTCCAACAAGTCTCATACAGTCATGATATAACAATATTGTATACAAGTTGTTAACAGCTTGTAACAAGCTTGTTGATATTATCAAACTTGTTGCAAGGTTGTTCCAACAAGTCTGATACAGTCATGATATAACAATATTGTATACAAGTTGTTAACAGCTTGTAACAAGCTTGTTGATATTATCAGACTTGTAGCAAGGTTGTTCCAACAAGTCTCATACAGTGATGAAGAAGTCGTAAACACAGAATTCCTACCTTGTTGAGTAATTCACTTTCAAGCTCAGAACATTGTTTTGTTTTGTTGTCAAGTTCATTTTTGAATGATAGAAGCTGAGATTGCAAACTTAGTGCGTCTTCCTTGTATGAGTCAAGTTGCTGTTTCGTCTAAATAATAAAATCAGCCTTGAAAATAAGCCAATCCAGATTAAGTAGGCTTGAAAATCCTGGTTAAAGACCGTTCATTATTTATGGTGGCGGGTGACACCGAACAGAATTGTGTTTTATTGATAAAGATTTTACTGATCGAACCACTTTCTTTGGAGACACCATTTGCCTCCTGACAAATTGGAAAATGATCAAGATAGTGACTCTGATTGATTGATTTACATATTTTATTGACATATGACTGTTGAAAGTGCTTTTTAATCTTCAATATTTGAGTGAGTCATGCTTTGGAAATGACAATAAATTTTTCTTACCCAACCCTTGAGTTGTTTTGTTTTTCATTTACCCAACCTTTTACCAACTCAAAATTTTGTTTACCCAACCCTTTTCTCTTCGGGGCCACCCCCCATAAATAATGACTTACCCAACCTTTTCCCATTTGTGTCACCCCACCACCACCACCCCCCCCCCTCCCCCCATAAATAATGACCGCTCCCTTAGCAGGTTGTAGTAAAACAATAGATGTGAATAAACTAACCAAAGTATGTTCCTGTTGCAATGCAGAATGTTCAGCAATCTTCTGCTGTAATGCTTCTTGCACGGATATTATCTGTTCTTCCAAAACATTCTTCTCAGCCACTTTGGAGGCTTCCACTGCCACCAGAACTTCACTCTTCGGAAAAATTAACATTTCATTTGATGAAGCATTTCAAGCTTGGCTTTTCGGCGACAAAGAGTCGCCAGTGGACATGAATAATGGTAATTCTTTTCATTCTATGTCGTGGAGGTTATGTTATCAGACGCTAATAATGTTTTCGTTGAACTACAAGCATTATTTCGACAATACCTTTTTCTGAAGTTCTGATTTTGTTTCCTCCAAATTTCCCGAAATATTTTGAAGCTCGTCCGATTTTTCTTTCAAAGACACAGAAAGTTTGTTTTCATCCAGTCTTGACTGTTCCAACTCCTCAGTTATCTAAAAGATATCGAAGATTGTGATCACCATCATCATGATCACCATGATCACCACCATCACCATCATCATCACAATCATCATCATCATCATCACCATCATGATCGCCATCATCACAATCATCATCATCATCACCAGTATGGAAACTGATCAAATACCTCGTTATTTCGTTTATGTAATTCTTCGATTTTCGCCGCATTCTCTTTAGCTTGACATTCCATCTGCTTTTCACAATCGTTCAATCTTTCTTCTAATTGATCCTAAACATTGTAGTTTATACTGGATAGCTGTATCAGTTCTAAACTGTTCTCCCTAGAGGTCCAGTTAGGATCATCTCTTATTGATCCAGTGTTACTACAGGAGGAAACCTAAACTAAACTAACTTTATTTATACTGGATAGCTCTATCAGTTCTAAACTGTTCTCCCTAGAGGTCCAGTAAGAGTCATCTCTTATTGATCCAGTGTTACTACAGGAGGAAACCTAAACTAAACTAACTTTATTTATACTGGATAGCTCTATCTGTTCTAAACTGTTCTTTCTAGAGGTCCAGTAAGGATCATGTCTTATTGATCCAGTGTTACTACAGGAGGAAACCTAAACGAAACTAACTTTATTTATACTGGTAGCTCTATCAGTTCTAAACTGTTCTCCCTAGAGGTCCAGTAAGAGTCATCTCTTATTGATTCCGTGTTACTACAGGAGGAAACCTAAACTAAACTAACTTTATTTATACTGGATAGCTCTATCAGTTCTAAACTGTTCTTCCTAGAGGTCCAGTAAGGATCATCTCTTATTGATTCAGTGGTACTACAGGACGAAACCTAAACTTAACTAATTTTCGGAAAACTAGTTTGGCACAGTTTTACTGTGCAAAAAATACAGTAGTAATTTAGAAAAATACCTTTTCTTGATTTAACTGATTGATTGCTGTACTGATTCCTTCGCCAGCCTCGATCTACAAGTACCAATCCAATAAAATATGAATTATCAAAGACCGTACTTCGGTATATACTGGGCAAGTACGCTGAAAGGGCCACCCTGTTTAAATAAAGTTTTTCCATTCCATTCCAATGGTGATATAATAATAATAATAATAATAAAATCTTTATTTATACTGATAAAAAAGACCGTTCAGTCAATTACATAGATTGGCTGGTATCAATCGGTGATCAGTGTATAACAAGTATATATACAATAACATAAGTGCGTAACAGTGCATAAATAAGGCTATATAATGTAAACACTGTTTACACCTGCAACCTCCACTGCGATTCCAGGCGCGACACTCCTCCCCCGATGCATGCGAACGAGCAGATGAGCAATGAATGTTCTGAGTACATGTACCTTCATCTAAACATTCACAACTCATCCACCCCCTCACACCCACCAAGAGAAAAAGACCGCACCCAAAATCGCAGCAAAAATTGCAAGTGTCAACAGGCCTTAAGATGTCTAAAATTACAAACTACAATTGTGCGTAACAGCATCCATGTTTATCAAGTGTTTAAACACTTCATTCTTGAACCGCACAAGTGTTTTTAATTCTCGTATTTCTGTCGGTAAAGAATTCCAATCTTTGGCAGCCGAGAATCTGAATGAGGTCTCGCCACATCTAGTTCTTACTGGCGGTAAATCTAGCAATGTTGGATCTCTAAGAGATCGACAGTGCATTTGTGATCGTCTTACTAGATAGCCTATCAACTGCTTCGGGCAGTTTATGTTGTTTACGATCTTATAAACTATATATGGGTAAATATTTAAAATTTTGAGCATCTCGCTTGATAGAACTGAACGTTTGTTGATGGGGTTTTTTGTAGATGGAAATTAATTTCGATCTAGGTGACAAAATATCTACAAGAGTATAGTAAAGTCTACCTTTTGAATTAAGTCGTTCCGTTCTTCCTCCATTCGTGAAATATCCGCCTTACTTTGATCCAGAGATTTTTCTAACTCAACAAGTTTGCTTTCTCTTGAAAAGTTAAGACAAGTATAAATTAAGAAAAGATGAACTAACGATATTACTGCCTTCATTATTTTACTCTGTCTAACGCCAAACGATTTTACTCGTCAAGGGGAATGCGCTGGCGCTCAATGGGTTGATGTCACATGTTGTACCTGGTAATACTTTGCCTTTCTTGTTCTTCAGACAGATTTTGAAGACGTCTTACTTCCTGCTTGGCTTCGTCTTTTGCGTTGAGCTAAACAAACATATCCCAAACTCAAAAATATAACATTTACCACAGCAGAGGATTCTGGGATACATTCACTTGTTCAAAGACGGCAAATTTCGTAGAAGATGATCGGTTATAAAAGTTATCACAAACGAAACAGCACCGTATATCGTCATCCTGATACGTCCATAAATTAAGTCAATTTTTGCGACTCACTTCAATTTGATAATTTTCTTTCGTTTCTTCGAGTTGTTTCTGTAAAAACTCCACAAACTGTTCTTTTTCCTTAACAGCAACTTTCGTCTGAAGAAATACATTATATACAATATGCAGAAATATACAGGGTGTAATCAAACTTTAGTCTAGTGTATCTCTACAAGTGCATCATTTCCAACTCTGACAGTAACATTTCTTTCAAGATTCCTACTCGAGAAACACGAAGTACTAATGCAACCAATGGCATCTTACTTGAAGTAGCCAAGTGCAAGACAGTGATACTCTTGTAAATACAGTAGATTTAAATGCTCCGAAGATGTGGGAAACGTCAGGTAATAAATTTTATTCTTTTTTTTCTATATCTTTGTCGTGAGTGTGCCACCAGTCAATAAATAAACATGAGAGAACATACTTGGTCTAACTCGTGTTGCATGGACAGAACTAGCTGCTGTTTTTCTCCCTGATTTTCTTCTACTTGTTTGCGATAACCTGAAGCGGCCTCAAGTGCGGTCTGCAAACTGAAAATATCATTTTATTCGCACTTTTAATCCTTCATGAGGAAATAAAGATTAGTAAAGTTGTTCAACATTAATAATCATATATATTATATACCTTTGCAATTGTTCAACTTTTGATGATTTTTCTATAACAAGCTCGTTGACTTTCGCTTCCAACCTAAACATAAGACTTTGGTTATGTACGCGATGAGCAGTCATTTACCAGAATAGTTTTAAAACCTCGTCTGCACATGTGTAAATCCCACAACTTGTCAACAAGATGTGTTCGCAACAGGCTTGTAGCAAGCTTGTCAACAAGTTGTAACAATGCTGTTATTTTATCAAGTTGCTACAAGCTTGTCACTCACAACTTGTTGAGAAATTGTTGAATTGCAGGACGATTGTTGTTGGAACAACTTGTAACAAGTCTGTTGAGCTCAACAACCTTGTAGCAAGTTGTCAACAAGCCGTTGACAACTTGTCAACAAGCTGGGAACAAGCAGTGCGAACACATCCTGTTGACAAGTTGTTGGAACAGCATTGCTACAAGTCTGTTGCAGGTTTGTTACAACTTACGCGTTTTTACGCGAGTAAGGCTACATGGTCATTGCATAATATGGCTATGACGTCACGTTGTTGTGATGTCACGGGACTGTGACGTCACATAACCATCACGTGTGACGCACTATGCTATGGCATGAATAGAAGTATTCGACCTTTTAGTAGTTTCAACAGTATTCTCATATTTTTCACTCAGTTCCAGTCTCTCGCTCTCTTTCTCCAGTTTCGTGTTTTTCAGCTGTTCCTCCAGGGAGTTGATGTGCGTCTGCAACGACGATACATGCTCAGCGGTCGGCCTAGGGAAGGGAAATTGTCATGTAAGCAAAAGTGATATGGTTCACAAAAATCCCAAATGAATGGAACGAGCATCTTAAAATGAGCAAAATTGCAAAGTTACGAATTGTTGTAAAATGAAGGAAGTATAGTCCTGTGAAGTTCGCAAATTTTGTATATATTTGCATTACGCGCGGGAAAAATAACCATTTTTGAGTCGAAAGTGGTTATTTTTCACGCGCGTAATACAAATATATACAAAATTTGCGAACTTCACAGGGCTATATTTTCTTCATTTTACAACATTTAGCAAGCAATCTTTGCAGTTTTACTCATTCTAAGACGCTCTTTCTAGCTATGGTGTTGGATTTCATTCTTCTTGCCTTGATCAAAATTTAGTCTATAGCTGAATCACCCATTATGCCATTCAGAGTGGGTCATTTTGGCCGTTCAAAAACAGACTTGTTCGCCCTAATTCATTTGGATTTGGGGAACTCTCCTTCATTTGGATTTGGATTAGAAGGGGTTTGTTTATGTGGCCTCAATGATGAATTTTATGTATAAAATTCAAACTCAAAATCTACAACAACAAATCCCTTATTCATTTGCGCTGCCACATAATTTGTCAAGACATACGTTGATGTATTTTGATTCCTATATTAAACCTTCCTGAAATAATAGACGCGTGTGCCACATACCTTTCTCCCAGCTGTGTCTCTAAATCACCGATTGTTTTCGATTTATCCTCCAATTCTTCCTGCACAAAAAATGACCATGACAATGAAAACATTTTAACGAGTGATGTTAACAGTATACTGTACACACACGTAAAAACGCACAAGTTGTTACAGGTCTGCAAACAAGTTGTTACAAATCTGTTCACAAGCTGTCGACAAGTTGTGTTCGCACTGCTTGTTCCCAGTTGTTGTAACAAGTTTGGAACAATCTGTTAACAACTTGTAACAAGCTTGATGGGATTATCAGACTTGTTACAAGGTTGTTCTAACAAATCTGATACAGTCATGATATAACAAGAATGTTACAAGGTTGACGACACGAGGTTGTAACAATATTGTTATATCATAACTGTATCGGACTTGTTGGAACAACCTTGCAACAAGTGTTGTGAAAGCTGTTAACAACTTGTTGACAACTTGGGACAAGCAGTGCGAACACAACTTGTTGACGGCTTGTTACCAGACTTGCTACAAGATGTGAGATTTTTGAGAGACAAGTTAACAAATAAAGTTATGATAAAGTTAATAAAGTTAACCGTTTAAATAAAGTTACAAACTCATTAATTATTCATAACGAAAAAACAAAGGAAATCGCTACCATGTTGGTGTAAACTTTATCTTTGATTTTCTAGGCTTAGACAACGTTTATTTTAAAATTATTTCGCCAAAAAACTCAAAAGATAGATAGGTCGTTTTTAAACCATTTAAACATCACAGTCCGTGCTTTATCATCGATATACAACTCTCGGCTATCGCCTCGAATTTTATATCTGATAAAGCACTCTTGCTCATCTTTTAAATAGTAGAGAGTTTGGCAAATACAAAGGCAACGGCAATATGGTCATCGACAATAGCATTACTGTCGTTCCAATTGAAGTGTTGCTCAAATATTGATTCAATACATTACCTCAGGCTGACCAATTCATTTCATCAAGTTCCTCGAAATATTCATACACTTCCTAGTATAATTGTAAACTTCCTGTTGAATAGTTTGAATGCACCAATCACCTTTGTTGTTTGTGCAACTAACCAATCATAAATAGAGAGGAAGTGACCATGCAGAAATGATCAAATACTTGGAATTGCCTCTTTCACAGGAAGTGTATGAATATCTCGAGGAACTTGATCAAATGAATTGGTCAGCCTGAGGTAATGTATTGAATCAATATTTGAGGAACACTTCAATTGGAACGACAGTAATCCTCGAAGACAAAGGCGAATGTAAATCACATGATCTTAAGCGTTGTGCAATGCTGTAGTTGTTGAAACTAGTACGTGATTTGCATCATTTTCACGGTGCATGACTACGGCAACAGTTAATTCGTTCGATGTTATTTGAGGTGTTTTATTTGAATTCGCGGACTATTTTTACGTTTGAAAGAAACAGGAAGCAAATTAAGTGTAGTAACGTATACTTTGGCTCAAATACAACAATATAAGCAATTATATTTTCCCCGTTGCCGTTGTCGTTGCCGTTCTAGGTTGCCAAACTCTCTAGTACTTAACGTTTCGCGGCGAATTATTTTGCTGACCAATCACATTGCCAAGATTTGTTTTTCGCTTCGCTTGGCGCGAACAACTTCGCCTAGCGGAAAATGGGCTTAAGAAAAACAATCGCAATCGGCTCGAGTATTTTACGCTTTCCGAAAGTCTCGTATGCAACATCCCTCGTGCAAGGATGACGCTATCCTTCACAGAAATCCATTTTATATTCCTTTATTCATCAATACCTTCATTCCTTCACACGATTTCTCAAGTGAAATGCGTGTCTGTTCTTCGTCTTTGAGTTTCGACTGTAAGGCGACGAGTTCCGAGTTCATTTCCGAAGATTTCTGAACCAATGAGAGCTGTTCCTCTTGGCTACCTGACTTTGCCTCCAAAGCGTGCACTAAGTTTTGTTTCAATTCGTTGACTTCTGCAAGAAAGGTTGTAATGTTGTTATGTTATAAAAGAGAGGAGTACATAGCTAATTCAGAAAAGATTGTCCTTTGCAAACCTTATAAAACTCATTAATAATTCACAAATAGCTGCAATATTCAACTACTGAGCTTGAAACTTGTGTTCCCATTAAACTTTGCGCGCTTAGTGTTTAAGGTTTAAGGAGTTTAAACGTTCGCAAAGGACAACCTTTTTTGAATTGGCTGTATATTATATCATAACCGACATGAATGAACAATTGATTATACCCGTCGTTTTCTCCTGTTCAGACAACTTTAGTTTTTCTTCAAATTCCTTCGTACATTTGTGCTTTTCCTTTAGAGAATAAAGAAAGAAACGTCAACAATAAAACGAGCTTGCAATTTGACTCTTCCGAAACAAGTGTGGATTTCGTTCTCGACCAATCAGCGCATTCGTTAACGATTTCGCTCTAAGGCAATCAGAATGCGTAATTGGTTATTATATGTAGTAATGGCATTTGAAAACAGAGTTTTGGCATTTGAAAACGGAGTTTTGGCATTTGAAAACAGAGTTTTGGCATTTGAAAACAGAGTTTTGGCATTTGAAAAGGGAGTTTTGGCATTTGAAAAGGGAGTTCTGGCTTTTGAAAAGGGAGTTCTGGCTTTTGAAAAGGGAGTTCTGGCTTTTGAAAAGGGAGTTCTGGCTTTTGAAAAGGAAGTTCTGGCTTTTGAAAAGGGAGTATTGGCATTTGAAAAGGGAGTTCTGGCATTTGAAAAGGAAGTTTTGGCATTTGAAAAGGGAGTTTTGGTTTTGGAAAAGGGATTTCTGGCATTTGAAAACGGAGTTTGGCATTTGAAAAGGGAGTTCTGGCATTTGAAAACAGAGTTTTGGCATTTGAAAACAGAGTTTTGGCATTTGAAAACAGAGTTTTGGCTTTTGAAAAGACAGTTCTGGCTTTTGAAAACGGAGTTCTGCCATTTGAAAACGGAGTTCTGGCATTTGAAAAAGGAGTTTTGGCATTTGAAAACGGAGTTTTGCTATTTGAAAACGGAGTTCTGCCATTTTGGCATTTGAAAAGGGAGTTCTGGCATTTGAACAGGACCTACGTAACTGCCGCGTAATTGCTTTCGTCTGAAAATTTTAAGCACAAATCAAATGCCTATTTTTGAAACGCAGCTTCCTAGAATTACAATGATTAAAACAAACCTGTTCCAAGTTTTGAAAAGCTTCGAGTCTTTCCTGTTTCTCAGCTTCGAGTTTGTCTACTTCTTCCTTCAGCGCGCTGCTGTACCATTTCTCCTCCTACGAAAAAACAAAATCAATTTTCTAAGAAGAGCCGTGTTCAACGAGGCTTAATTTCCAAGGCGCCACTTGTTTCAAAGCTGGTTTACTTAGCGTTAATCCTCCAGGGTTAAAGTTTAGATTACTATTTTGGTTGATTGATCCAGACAATATTTCCATGTTTATAAACTAGCTGTTACGAAGAACACTTAAACTAAAAAGACAATTTTAGGATTCCACAACTTGTCAACAAGACGTGTTCGCAACAGGCTTGTAGCAAGCTTGTCAGCAAGTTGTCACAATGCTGTTATTTTATCAATTTGCTACAAGCTTGTCACTCACAACTTGTTGACAAATTTCTGAATTGCAGGACGATAACAAGTTGTTGGAACAACTTGTATTGTAACAAGTCTGTTGTGCTCAACAACCTTGTAGCAAGTTGTCAACAAGCTGGGAACAAGCAGTGCGAACACATCCTGTTGACAAGTTGTTGGAACAGCATTGCTACAAGTCTGCTGCAGGTTTGTTAAAAATTGTGTGTTTCTATATGTATATGTATGTAGCAAATAGACAATTCCCATAAATGATTACAGACTAATTTTAAAACTATAGCAAGGAGTTGCAAGTAAATCACCACAGCTAGAAAAAACATACTAAAATGAGTAAAATTTGGTTGCGAAATGTTGTAAAATGCGGAAAATATAGCCTTGCAAAGTTCGCAAATTTTGTACAATTTGTATTGCGTGCGGAAATTGATACTATTTTCGCCCCAAATGTGGTAGCAATTTCCGCACGCAATACAAAAGTATACAAAATTTGCGAACTTTGCAACGCTATATTTTCCGCATTTTACAACATTTCGCAACCAAACTTTGCAATTTTACTCATTTTAGTATGCTCTTTCTAGCTGTGGTGATTTATTTGCATCTCCTTGCCTAGTTTTAAAATTAGTCAAAATGGGAATTGTCTATTCACTAATTGGAGTATTGCCGTACTGGATTTCTCATTCTTCAAAATACCTTCAAAGCAGCATTAATGTCATTAATTTCACGTTGCAATGCGACTACTTCCGTCGACTTCTCTTCCAAATCTTTCAAAGTTGTGTCGAGTAACGACATATCTTCAGCATTTGTTCTGGCATGTGATTCCTGATCGAACGACAACAGAGAGCCAGTACGTTCATTCCAAATTTTAGATGAGTCCTGCCCATTTTTTATCACCGCCGATGTATTTTGAGTCGGCTGCAAATTTTGAAAAGTTGACAATGAAGGTCATTAAAATTTCATCACAGCTTGAAAGAGCATCACAAAATTAGTAATATTCCAAAGTTTCGTCGCGAAATGTTATAAAATGCGGATAATATAGCCTTGTAAAGTTTGCCGTTTTTCAGTCATTTTGTATTACGCACGGGAAATTGACAGCCCAATCGGGTGTTGGGGCATCAATTTCCCGTTTGTAATACAAAATGACTGAAAATTGCACATTTCGCAAGGCTATATTATCCGCATTTTACAACATTTCGCAACAAAACTTCGGTATTACTAATTTTGTGATGCTCTTTCAAGCTGTAATGAAATTTTTGTCTAGACTTGTCTAGATCAAAATTTTAGTTATAAGGGGAAAAGTCCATTGTTCGAACGGCAACTTTAATAAATTTCAAACAGCTTTGGCCTTTGTAAAGGCCCGTTTAAACGGGAGATTTTTGCTGCGATTTTAGTTGCGATTTTCTCCTTTTGGAGGATGTGAAGAAGTAGATTACTTAATGATGTTGTTATGAGATTTCATAACCTGGAACATTTATAACTCATCTACTCCTTCACATCCTCCAAAAGGAGAAAATCGCAACTGAAATCGCAGCAAAAATCGTCCGTGTAAATGGGCCTTCAGACATGAACAAAATCAATTTACAAAATGTCCAATTCTTAATGCCAAACAATTTCAGAAAATCCACTAATGGACCATTTGCATTATAGACTAAATTTTGATCTAGACAAAAATTTCATCACAGCTTGAAAGAGCATCACAAAATTAGTAATATTCCAAAGTTTCGTTGCGAAATGTTGTAAAATGCGGATAATATAG